GAACATTGTGAGAACTGCTGACCTGATCAGTCTGATTTCTCACAGCCCGTGCTGTGACAGCAAGAGGTTCAGACCTCAGGGACGAGGCTATTGCCCGAGCTTTGGAATGGATGGACTGGGGAGAGCAGGTTGGAGTTTGCTGTGGTAAGACAGTAAGTTGGATCTAAGCAGTGTTTCTCTTTGGCCTCCTGCAGGTCGAGTGGCCAAAATGGCATTTGTGAACTCTGCAGCAAAGCCCCCTCGGGACGTACGGAGGAGACAAGAGAAGTTTGGAACTGGAGGACCTCTGCTGCCAGAGAAGACCAAGTGAGTGTTTCTCAGGAGCACTTGCTGCTCAGGGCTTCTTTTCCTGGCAGCTCCTGCCAGCTTCCCCCTGCAGCTCTGCAGGGAAGGATTCTGTGTGTCTGGGAGGTCCTTGTAACTGTAATAGCCTCTTCTGTGCTGGGAAGATCCTGGTCACTGCTGGTTCCATGTGGTGGTGTGCCTTGTGTCTGAAGAATTGCATCAAACCACAGTGAGTCCTTCTCTGACGTGTCTGCCCCATCTCTGTTCCAGAATAAAACCAGTCCTGTACACATCCAGCAAAAGCCACTCTCGTGTGAGTGAGGAGCAGTCCTACGATGGGCCCAGCACCAGCAGTGGCCATTCTGTCCCATCTTCAGGTAGCACCTTCTCCTCCTACGACCCCAAGAAACCACCAGTGAAGAGTAAGTACAAACTGCAGAACATCCCTGTGGTCTCCTAGATCTCCTCCTTTACAAACACACAAATCTATTGCTTCTGCTCTAGAGAAATCCAGGTTACGTGGGAGGGTTGATGGTGGTGGCCTCTCTCCCCTCCCTAAGGAGGGGGTGATAAAGTCTGATCAAATGTCTTGCACAAGAAAAAGCACAGGGGAACGTATGATTCACCTTCCTGCTCAGTGCTGGCTGCATCAGCCTGCCCTGATGGTACCAGTGCAGCAGAAACCCTGCCTTGTCCCTCCTGCTGTCACCTCTGTGTCTGTCCAGCTGTTTGGAACAATGATACTGCAGTGTAGCTCCCTCTGGGGAGGAAACAGGGAGAGTTTAACTGGAGTTCTGTCTTCTTGCCATGCAGAAAGCAGCTTTGAACTGCTCTCTGCTCTCCCAGTCTGTTGACTGCTGATTTCATGTGGGGGTTTTCTTGTTTGATTTGGGGTTTTTTTTCTTCCTCTGTTGCAGAAATTGCACCCATGATGGCAAAGACTATCAAAGCTTTCAAGAACAGGTTCTCTCGGAGATAAGCTTGCAGTGCAGATCTGGGACTTGCCCTCTGGTGGGGAGTGGCACTGAAGGGGGAGAAGGTACTCACAGCCCTTTTCCTTGAACTCTTTGGAGGCTGCAGCTGCTGGGAGAAGCTTTGATCTGCACAAGACAACAGCACAGTATTTTATCTTTTATTCTGGTCCCTTTCTCAGTGTCAAGCCCCCTCTTTTCCACCTGCCCTTAACATCCTGTTTCTGGCTTTGTCATCCGTCAAAAGAAGGGTGTACAAAATCTCTCGACACAAGAAAATGTGAAGTCTTGGCACCTGCTGAGAGTGGAAGATCCAGAGACTATTTTACTATTTAACCTCTTCATAAATTATAAAATGGTTTTAATTAATATTTTTTGCCTCTTATCCCGCTGGTATTTATGTTGCTCCCAGTAATCTTCCCCCTCCTGACGCAGTGCAAGGGTCAGCCTCTCTATGGCTCCATCTGTCCGAGTGGACACTGGGTGTCCTTCCTTGTGATCTGGCACCTCCTGGACTCCCTGGGACAGGCAGCACCCATCTGCTCAGTGGTCTTTTGGCAAGTGTGTCAAGTCCCGAGGCTTTGCTCTCTACTTGTGTCTGTTAATCTCAGCTCTCAATCTTCTCTCTGCTCTTACTGTAGGTCTTGTACAGATGCTTACGTTGTTGTGCAGGGATGCCAAGAGCTGCTGGGGACTCTCTGCTGCTGCTGTTGTCTTCTGCTGCCTACTGGGAATAAAACTACAAAGGGCTTGGGGAGAAATCTTCCTGTGCACCAAGTCAGATTTTAACTTCTTTTCATTTTTTTCCCCCCTTTTTAATTGAGAAGGTTACAGAGGACTTTGCCTCTGGAATTGGAAACAGGTTTTAAAGCTCACTGGCATCAAAGGCATCGGTTTGCCTCTTTTAGTAGAAAGAAGGAATACTTTTATCATGTTTCCTGTGTGCAATTGGGAAGGATTTATTTCCAGTTTGAAAGCTGGTGCTTAAATCCTGCCTATTCCCTGTATGTCTGCCCCCGCTTTGGAAAAAGCAAGAATTTTAGTCTTGGACCCTAAAACCACTTGCCTGGTGTTGGAGGGAAGTGAATAATGGAACGTGGTTTGGTTTTAATGTGTGTACAGGTGGTAGCAGGAGTTCAGGAGTGGGTTGTACGTGGTGGCTGAGGGGCTGCAGCCCCTGTGTGTGGGTTCAGGTGGCCTGGCTGAGCAGACACGAGCAGGGGAGGGAGAGGTTCTCCTGTTCCAAGCCATATTTGCTGCCCTGGGCCTGTGCTGTCTAGGTGGGAAAGGTGTTGATGGTGGCTTTGTGTGGCTGCCACATGCTGAACCAGTGGAGTTGTCTGTGCACTGACTGGGGAACCTTGCTGTGAAGAGTCCTCCCCATGGGGCTCTAGAAAAATCCCTGTATGCTTCTGGTTTCTGTTGGTTCCTTTCTTTGTTATCCTCCATATTTTCTTTCTTTAAACCCATTCTGAACACTTGTCTCTTTGTTTATTTGGGCTCTTCTTTCCTTATTTTGAAGGTCTTGGAAAAATGTTCTCAGACTCTCATGTGCTGTAAGTTGGTTACAGTCCCAGATGCTTTAATGTTCCCGTGCAGCATTTCAGTGTGTGTTGTGCTGTAAAATAATGGCTCCTTACTCTTGCATTTTTGCTGTATTTAATTTTGCTGTATTTTTAATTAGATAACAATATATTATCTTCTGCTGCCTGTTGTGCTACCATTTATTTCTCCTCTGTACTTGGGGTAGGGGCAGAGGGTGAGGGAAGTGGAGTCTGGCATCATGTCCAGGCCCTAAGGGAGCCTCGAGCAGAGGAGCTGGGCACTGCTAAACTGCCACTTGCTGAACACTACAGCAGCCACTCGGATGTGATACTGCCCAAAGCATTGCTGGTACAGGGTGATGCCCCTTCCCTCTCGGCCTCTTTGCTGTGGGCTTTGCTGCCTGTGTCTGTGTTTCAGCTTGGCTGGATGGCAGGGAGAGAGGGGGCCAGAGTTGAGGTCGGTGCCCAGGGTGTTACTTGTGCAATTCCCATGTGCTCCACTCCTGCAGAGGACCGGAGCAGAGCTGCCTCTTCCCCCTTTGCCACATCACGGGCAGGAGGGGGGTGACTTTGACTTGGATTTGTATTTTGGTCCCTAACTGTGTACATACACTTTTCTATGTTACTTTTTTTTTTTTT